TCGAAAGCAGCTTTGAAATCGACGAAGAGGTGGTGAGTGTCGATTCTCCTTGTTGATTTGTTTGGTTGTTGATTTTCCAGGTCTGAAGCCACACTGATAAGGTCCAATCAGTTTGTTGACGGTGGGCTTTATATAATTACATCTTAAAAATTTGTTTATAGCCGCAATATTTGTAACTTCTCAGAATTAACCTAACATACGGAAGCCAAAGTCCATTTTCGCATCTTAAGAAACACATGAAAATTAAAAAATAATAACAATTAATGTGCCTTCATACCACTGTATGTATGTACATATGTATATGTGGTTATATAATTGTTAGAAGAATTAAATTTGAAATATCAAAATTCAAATCTGTTATCGGCAGGCATCAGACAACAGCAGTTTAAGTGGCATAGTCCGCCGGCAACCAGGTGTATTTACGGGGAACCGAATCGAAACGTGTTTTGCCTGCTGAGTTATGGCTCAACGCGAATGTTTAATGTCTTCGGTCGGCTGTCACCGATGCGCTTGTCTTCATGTTTTCTTCGCTTCATACAAATGTACAGAATTGAGCTTTTTGCTCAACACTTTTTAATTTCAATACAAATTTATTTCTTTTTTACGCTTTCTTGAGATTCTACATATGTTTGTTTGTATGTCTCCATACAATTGCTGGGAGCAAAGTGCAGCGCTGCCATAAAGATCTTGTCAGCATGCGCGTGGAGGAGAATTTAAATTGTTGCGCAAGACAAGCGCGCGAGGCAGTGATTCCCCAGGGATAAAGTGCACAGTTTGACAACTGTAGAATTGTAGATTTGCAAAACACGAAAATTGCACGGTTCTTAGCTGATGCTTGATGCGTGTACACTTGTCAGCGAGAATGTAAAAACTAAATTAAGTGATTAAGTAAATTAATTAACACTCTGTCACAGGACTTTGTTGCTAAAATTGCATAGGTGACGAGGCATCATTCCGAGTTCCTATAATTGCGAGTGGGGGCGGCAACAATTTGGCCACTTACCCGTGGCATGCAATTTGAAATAATATTTCCGATATCGATAGGCAACAATTAATTGGAGAAGCATGCGGAAATGTGACTCGAAACCTCTCATTAAACACATACAGCTATATATTTGGGTAATTTTAAAACAAAACAATTTAGGAAGTCTTAATTTGTGTCTATTTCTCAGCTACTAATTTAAGAATCGGGATATTTAAATAAAAAAAAATCAGTTAATGACAAAACAAGTTTGTAATTTGTCCAAAAAATATTTATTTATACCTTATTTAATTTTTAATTGTCTAAAGCCAGTAGTTTAACAATATTTTTTTTTTTTTTTTTGATATTATTTTAAAATGGCATTGTTCCGTTTTTAGTTTTTTTCTTTTGCTGAATCCTATTATTTTCTAATTATGATGTTTCCACATTTTCATTTTCCATTCGCTAATGGCTTTGATTTTCTCATTCAGCCATGTATGAAGCTCATTTTTACATAGAATTATTCTAGGCTGAACAGAAAACAACAAAAAAATAAAATTAATTAAAAATTAATATAAAAAACCCAAATCGCAAAATAATACTAGATGGTGCCGAATCCATAGATCGTGTTGTGTGTGTGTCCACAAAAGCCGCGGTTGTGTGTGCTCGGCTTTAATGTTTGGGTAGCGACTTCCAATTTCAGGTGCGCTTGATGGATACAAGTGTTTTCAAAAATCTGTAAAAGTTTGCAATCATTTTTAATAATCTTCGATCTAAGGTACGATAAGTACACTTTGTCACATTATTAGGCATACATGTGTTTATTTTAATAACAGCTATGAAATGTTGTATTAAACGGAGATTGTAAAATTTAAACGAAAATATGTATGTATATATACTTAAAGACACGTGTATTTTGTTGTTTCAAGCATGATTTTAGCAGCCTAACTGCGAAATTGATTTGTGGACTCATATGCCAACTTCCACAGGGACAATTTTTAAGATCTGTTAGAAAATCTGTTTCTTTCAATGAAAACACGAAGATATATTTTGGAAAGCACTGAAAGATCAACTCTCAGCATAGCTAGAAATGACATGTTCTGAATGTTGCGCCAATTTCTTCAATGAGCAGAATGTCGAATAATTTTTAGATCATTGTGGTAGAATTCTACCGTTATAGTAACGGCATCTCATCTACACAAATTTTAGTGTTTTATAAGTGTAGAAATGGAAGAAGGATTGATACTTTTTTATTTCAAAAGATCAGTCCTTTTTTCACCCCTCTGAGGTTGTAGTAAATCTAAGAGGGTCGTGTTCGATCAAGCCTCTCTTCCTCTACTTCTCGCTGTGGGTACTACATCGAATACTTTTAGAGCAAGAGCTGGTTTCGCAAAATTATRTCAATGTCATCGTTCCATCGAATGCGAGATTCGCCGTTGCCAATGCTCAAAGAACCATAAATCTTCCGCAGAAACTTTCTCTCGAAAACTCGTAACGTCGACTAATCAGATATTGGCTTCGTCCACGCCTCTGTACCATATAGCGGGACGAGAAATATTGAACTACTTATAGACTTTAGTCTTAGGTCACGATTTCCGGTCTTAGGCATAGTACTCAAAAAACATCAGCTTGAAGGTGAGCTAAAGTGACAAGGCGAACCATCCCTCCCCAAGGTTGTACGCGCTAGGTGGCGCGTCCACGTAAAAAAAAAAACCCAACAAAAAGCAAACAACAGCGTCGGAATCGTCTTCTGAGAGTAAAATTATGTGAGAAAGTTCGTGCTCACTGTTCCATCAGAAAATGGTATGCTCCGAAAGTTTACTCAGAGCCGAAATGCGAAGTAAAGCCGCTTTTTTATATTCTTTACCTGGGCTTCGGAGTTCATTTTAATACAGTGAGTTGTTTGTTATCTTAAGCATGTTCTTTGACTTCTAAGCTTAGGATACTGCTGTCGTAGAAGGTATGCAGAGTCAGTTTCTTATAGTTTAATTGTGACTACTTAAACTAGGGCAATCACCAAGATAATGTGGTTAAAGTGACCGTATTGTCAATGAAAAAAACAGTAGGTCTACTCTAAAACGATTTTTGGTAAAATTGCTCTGTAGACATAATATTGAATAATCTCTGTCCGACTTCAATAGGAATCTGTAAAAAGTTGAGTTCGTTTAGGCCTGTAATAAATATCATAATAAGGGTATCTATTTCAGGAGAAAGCACATAACAAGAAAGAAAACATGCAGACCATTATCCTGAAGCAACACTCACATCCAGAAAGTACAAACTTTTAGCAAAAATATACCTCTAAATATACGCCAGTTTCTACACTCTTAGTTTCGCTTCATTTCCCTAATGTCAGTGATTAAATATTAACTTTAATTTACAGAACTTCCAATTGAAATTATTAAGCATTAAGTTCCAAAGGTCCCCAATTATCTTATCAGCTTAAGCAACAACTATAAAACACAATGAAAGATCGTGCCGGCTTAACGTCGCTTTGTCGACAATATTGACAGAGCACACACATTACCAAAGGTACATACGGGCATGTAAATGTCGTTTGGATTTGGCTAAGCGGAGATGTGTTGTCTACCACAGACATCTTTCCGACCAACATGTAAGCCAAGCAAGGTGGAGTCGTTGCATTTGAATGCCGGCAAATTCGCAAAACGCGCCAAACTTAAGCGCAAGACAACAAACAGGTCTTCGTTCAAAGCCTACCGCCTACCCCCAACCTCCCAGCGCCAACCGCCAGCTACAGCTGTCTAGAATAGCGGCAGCAGCAGCAGCAGCAGTAACTCCAACCAACAACAAAGTGAGCAAGAATAGACAAAAGCGCAACTGTGATAATGATGATCCTCGGCGGCGATGATCAGCGACGATCGATCGCACTGAATGTGCCGAACAACAAGCGATGGGGAGGAGCGGTGCATACCGGCGACGAAAACTAGGCAGAGCAGTGCGCGAATGGGCGCTATGCTGTGCGGTGCTACATCGCTAGCTAAGCCGAGTCGATGATTTTCCAACCGTCCAAGCGGAGCTCAGTTCAACTGCGGCAACTTGTGACGGTGGACGTGCGAAGCGGAAGAAGCACCGAAAAGCTCAGTGAAGCGCGCGTTCTCTACAAATATTTTATTTAAACCGAACAGGCAAGCTTGTTAGTAAATTGGTACCATATTTTTCCGAGCTTCGCACAAATTTAGTAAAGTGAAGTTTTGAAATTGTAAAAAATTAAGTGTGGAAATAGCGAAAATCGGTCGCAAGTGAATTCTGCCAAATATTCGCGTTGAATCACAACAACATAAAAATAAATTCTACAAGTAAAAAGCCGTAAAAGGCTTTGCATTCTGTGGCCACCAGCCTTCGATTTGGTGGAGTGGCGAAGCGTGTGAAACTTTGTACGCCGAAAAGTGGCGGAAAGGCAACTGCAACTGTCATAGTTGTTGACTTCAAGATTGGACTGCATTGCAGCGTCTACAAAAACATAATAACAACAAATTCAAAAAAAGATAAAATTGAAAAAAGTTAGTCAACGGCCGCGCGAGAATCTGAAAAAACGAAAAACGGAAAGCAAAACAAACGCAAAAACCGTGTAAATTAGGGTGTGCAATTGATAGTGAGTTCATGGTGTGCGAAAACGCGATTTTATAAAAAATCTCATAAAATATTTACACACATAGCGAAGCGTAACGCGTTATTTTCTATAATTTTCTCAAAGCTGTTGTTGTTTATTCTTTCGGTAAGTGTTTTTATCGGCATATTTGAATATTTTAAGCGCAATTTCTGACCGTTATTTCCAATTGCGAGCTGATATTTTTAGCACATTCGTCAATTTCTACTTTTATTCGCTTTATTAGTGCCATTATTTTCATTATTTTCAGTTTTGTAGTGATTTTGCTGGGAACACTGCTCGCACGTCTTTTGTTGTGTTGTAACGCATCACACGTTCGAAAATGATAAGTGCGCTTAGTGGCAGCACAGTATTACAAAGTGCTCAAACTTCAGTTTTAATAATGACGCTTTCTCTACTAAAATATTAAAACTGATTTTTTGTTTTCAAAAACTTTATTTTTTATATTTTTTTAAATTTTTTCCACAAATAAATATATGAATTTATGAACACAAAAAGTCTTCCAAATCACTAGAAATTATTATTATATATTTTAAGTGTATATTCATATTTTGATATTGGACAAAAAAATAGTTATTAGAAAACTAAAAGTCAGAATTATTTGAAAGTGTTGTTAAGACTTATTTCATATGTTTTGTAGTTTAATTCCATAACTTACTCAACATAATTTTTTAAATATAAATTTAATAGTGTACCCGGCCACGCGTTGTTGTGGTATACATTACATACTATTATATATAGTAATCTATTCAATACAGCGAAAATTTCATTTACGAATAGAGGCGAAAATGTTTTTGTCGATATAAGAATCCAAAGAACTGTACTTGAGGTTTAATTTTTAATATGTTTATACAAATAAAAGTCATTGGAAAAAAATGTTAGGGTGCTTTCTCACCTTTTACCAGCCTTTCTGTCTAGTTAAGGGAGTTGTCCACTTAATAGATTGTACTTAATAAACATCAACAATTTATGGGACCGGCCAATGTGAGGGTTAATGGAGATGTCCGCTTATTAGAGCGTCCATTTAAAGTCATTTTTTTTATTTATGAATTGTTCTTACTTTCCAATCTTCTAAGTTGGTTCGAGCTGGACACAGTGTGCTAGATTTTGCTAAGATCGGTTCAGTGGAGTAGGTATCCATCATGAACAAACAACACGAAACGTAATTTTCATATATATAAAGATAAAGATTTTCATTAATGTTGTTGCTTTCAAATTGTAATTTTGTATCAATCTCCGATGACAGAACTCAGAAAACTTTTTTCTTACAGATTAAAGTTTTCACCATCCACCAAAGTAAACTTGTTTTGTTGTTTTCCAGCTTTTTTTCATTTCGAAATAAAATGAAAAAGTGCATGTTTCTTCACTGTAATTTTCAGCGTGAGTCATTATATGGCTCTTGTTTTAAACGGGATTTTAATCTTGAGAACCGAATTTCGAGCATTTTTAGGGAATGGATAGAAAATCCATTTATTTATCATTTGTTTATTTTGTATATTTGAAGAGTATTAAAAATGTTCACTGCGTTATTCTTCCTCGAGGTAGAAAGGGAGAAATAGGTCGTGTCCTCGTCGGCATGATTCTACCCTTGTAGTCATCTGAAAAATAAAGCAATGATGGATTCTTGATCAATACAAATGTCGTTGTCTCAAGGTGCGGTAAAATTAGAAAATAAAATTCTTAAAAATGTGGCAACTCAAGAATAAAGTCGATTTTCCACTTGTTTTTAAATTTTTTTAACTTTGTAGAATTTTTTTTAAATATAAATTTTTTTTCTATTTTTATTGTTTCATACGACAGAGAAATGTTTGAAGAATATTTATGCCATATTTCAAGTAAATCGGCAGATTAGAACTGTTACCTCAAGGCGACCCCATCAGTATTTTCGAGAAAACCCGTTTTAAGTTAAGCCCACGGCTCAAACTGGTCCAATTGCCACGACTATAATTTCTGAAATAATTTGAATTTTTAAATGCCACTTTAGGGGCACTTTTTTGAAAATCTAAGCCACCGAATTATGAGAAATTTTCGATTTATTCAAACTTCTAGACTAGAATGCCTCCTTAAGCGTGCTATATGTATTTTTTTACCCAGCGCAAAGAGTTTACATAAGACATACATTTAGTATGACAATTGAGTTTATGTTAGGTTGGAAAGAATACTTATGTTCTTTATTGCAGTGTTCACTGATTTTTTCAACAACAAAATAGTGCGCAAACAATATTCTTTCGCTTTGAGACAATTAAAACAATAACGAAATAGAAAGTTTCCAAAAAGAATTTTTTGTATTGCTATTACTGTTAAGCCAAAACTCGAATTTAAAACACAATTAATTTAAAAATCCAGTATTTTATTTTATTTTTATTTTGATAACTTATGTTTATTAAAAACGATTACGATTAGTAGATGAACACGATTTTAATTATTATATCACGGTTGAGCATAACGAACCGTGGCACTGTGCCGCTTTCGGTCGGCAGCGCCGCGCACGCATAGAAAAAGTGAAACCGGATTTGTTGTTAATTTAGCTATTCAATATTAAACAAAAAGAGTAGTAAGCGTAACGACACAGCGCCGCCACCCGGCGTCGCCCGCCATCGTCCGCCGCGATTTTCAGCTTTTCACTGCACTTCCTCGCATCGCACTTGCCATTTAACACCTCTCCCCGGCGCCGAAACCCTCCTCCCCACTGCCTTCCATGTGACAGCCCGTGTGTAATGGCAGCGCGTCGAGCTACAGTGACCGACCGGCCGACTGCACAATTAAGCGTTCTGCGCTTTCAAATCTCTGTTTTAAATGTTTTTATTTACTTATTATTTATTGTGTTTGTTTTGCTTTGATTTTTACAATAAACATTTTAAATTATTTTGCATTATCTATTGTGCCTCATTTGTTATTGCTTTTGTTGCTATTATGACAGTGATTACCTCTGTGTGTGTGTGTGTGACTGCATTTTTTACTTCAATAGAATAATTTATAGTAAAACAGTCATGAATCGCTGTTAACGGACAAATGGTAGGCTACAAAACAAATGACACTTGGCAGTGACACAAAACACATGTCGAACGGTAGATTATTGTTTCGCGCGACGGTGCGACGAGCATCGCTGTTTGCGCACATGTGGGTCGCCCAAGCTGCAGATGGATTGATAGAACATTGTGTTTCGCAGACATTTCCTGACTATGTGCCTCTGGGCCTTCATGATAATGGTTCATCTCTTAGTTTGTAATATTAAAAATGTCAAATTGTCTTCTAGTGTTCCTTATAAATTTTATTTCTCTCATAGCTCTTTCAGCAAGAATTAAATTGCTAGACTGTAACAACTAAAGCCGCCCTGTCGTTCACACAGTTTATACTATTTTTTCAATTTTTTTTTGATAATTTTTTGGAAAGATAGATGAAGGGATAGGGAAAGTGTTAGATAAGTCATTCTTGTTGCTTGCAGATTATGAATTCAGTGTGTGAACGCTAGTCTAGATAGACAGCACTTTAACCATCTGAACGTAATACTTGTATTGTATATATAAAAGGTGTGAAGGTATATTTGGTTGATTTCTTTTTGCCATTTTTCCGCTAGAAACATTATTCAATCAGTGTAAAACTTTTCTGGCTTCTCGGCGAAAAACTGCGACAAGTAATTTTCACAGGCATCACTTTAAGCTCACTTTACTCCATTAAGTGAGCTCTGCACTGACCGAAATAAATATTAGTCGATGGTGCAAGGTCAGGGCTATATGGTGGATGCATCAAAACTTCCCAGCCAAGCTCTCAAAGTTTTTTCCGAGTCGTCAAAGATATGTGTAGTCTAGCGTTGTCCTGATCATCTGTTGATCAGTTCTGGTCGTTTTTTCGATTGCTTGCTTCAATCTCATCATTTCTTGAATGTAAAATGTAGAATCAATTGTTCGATCAAGCTAGAGCAGCTCATAGTGGATGATTTTTTTCCAAACCCACCAAACGCTCAGCATAACCTTTGGAGGTGTCAATCCTGGGTCCATTTGTTGGGCTTGGACCACGATCTGTTTTGCACATTATTCTCTTAATTGATCCACTTTTCGTCTTCTGTTACCATTCGCTTCAAAAGTGGTTCCATGTTTCATTTTCAGCGTTGAACTGATACAGCAGCGTCTCCGTGAGCTTCACATTGGTGGCATGCGTTGCATTCTTCTCTTGTTTATATAAAAATTTCAAAATATGGCAAATTTCTTCATTATTTTTACTCATTTTTGAACGACATCTATTGACAAAATACGAAAAGACTTTTTCGACTACCAAAAATTTTGATTATCGGCTGGTTAGTGATGAATATTTAGCTTTTCGGTCATGATTAGAGTTCTGCGTGTTTGTATGTTTTGGACGTTTGTGTGTCAATTTACTTCAAAGTCGATTAAAAGAAGTCGACATTTATAGAGGCTAACGAAATTCTCAAAGCTGCCAATAGATGTCTAACTAACTTTCCTTTCCAACTACAATGCATTCTAAGAAAAATCGAGGCATTTAAAATAGATTTGTGTCGCCGGTATCAAATCCAAACTCATCACTTCACTCCAGCTCACTCCAACTCAGTGCATGTGATAAGAGCGCTTTTAAATATCGCTGGGAATCAATTTAGTATTTAATTTTAAGCAGCTAATGTGATTCTGAAAGCGATTTTGTTGAATATCTAATTTGCGATCAGCTAATGCAGTATATTAATTAAGTGCAATTAAACCTTCAAAGCAGCGAAAAAAATTGCCAACAACAGGTAAATCGTCTGAATGTCGCGGCATCAAGGTGCTTTAAGAAGCTTAAATAACAAATAAGCAGCAACAACAATGCAACAGAATTTAAATGATTAATGAAAGAACCGAGCAAACAGCGCAAAACTCGATAAGCAATAACCAGTTTGATATTGCATTTAAAACGTACTATTATTTGGAAATTATTAATGTGTCTGCATTCAGTATTATTCGAAATTTATATAATCAACAAGCGACGAAATTGAAGAGTGCTGAACAAAACTTGCTGTTTTGTGTAGAACTCGTATGTTCCAGATATACTATACTTACAAATACATATTTATTGTTGGGACTTGTTTTTGGTACTATATTATTTAGTCAATTTAAAAA